GAATTTCCATGCAGGCAGCAGGATTTCCATGCGGAGGCTGGATCCGGGTTCGGGTTATTATTTATTTTTTCCTTCCTTCCCCTGTGCTGTCAGCATAGATTTTAATTTTAACAACCAATTGCTGAGCCTGAAGAGGGGGGGGATGAGGCTCTGGGAAACACCTCTTGCTTTGTTCGTGTTTTTATTTAAATATGTTTAAATATTTTTAGTGACTTCATTTCCTTGTGACAGATGCAAAAGGATTTCCTCCAGAGCAGGAAAAAACCCTTTCTTTAACTTGGTTTAGCATCATCTGCTCCTTGCATGAATGGTGTGAGGTTGGTCCCTCTCCAGTTTGGTATGGAGCTGGGATCTCTGAGGGAAGGGGTGATGCTGGCCATTCCATAAAATCTCTAAAACAACTTTCTGAGGGATGGTGCTGTTGGGATATTTAGGCAGCATCCCAGAGGGGAGAAAAAGCGCTCCCAAATTACTTCTCCAGTGGATGATGACTCTGTTGCTCCCCCTTGGGCAGGTGTCCCCAAGGTGATGAAGAGGAGCAGGTGATGAAGAGGAGTGGGATGCACTGGTGGCTTGTCACTGTCCTGGGGGTGAGTATGATCTCGTCTGTCCCATCCCATCCCTCTGCTTCTCCGATGCTCCACCACCACCCCATCACCATACAGGACACGGGGATGGACTTGCATCTGCCCTGGTGCATCCAACGAGTTCACATCCCTCACTCCTCTGGAGAGGGCCATCCGCTGGCTGAGGGACAAGCCAGAGGGTGGCATTTGCCACCGGAGCCGCAGCAGGGGCGGCACTGAGCGCTCTGATCCTCCTGCAGGTGCTGAGCGGACCTGCCTGGACCAGCGCCGGGAGCTGCAGCGCTCCGGAGCAGGGCACAACGGGATGCCCGCCCGGAGAGGAGCCCAGCGGGGTAAGCCGAGCCCAGCGGGCTGAGCCGAGCCCAGCTGAGGCTGCGGGAGCCGCGCATCGCTCATCCCCTCCCTCTCCCCCATCGCAGGATCCATCGGGGTCGTGCCGAGCTTGTCCCCCCGGCACCTTCTCGCTGGGGGCCGCGTCCTGCGCCGCTCACACGCAGTGCCGGGCCGGGAACAGGGTGCTGGTGGCAGCGGGGACGGCGGCGAGCGACAGCCGCTGCGGAGCCTGCCTGCCGGGGTGAGCCCAGCCCGGACACCGAGCCCCAGCTCCAGCCCCCCCGGGCTCCGGGGCCGTGTCCTGACCCTCCCGTCCCGCCCCGCAGGTTCCACAGCCCCGGAGGGGAGAGGGAGCCCCGGGGCCGGTGCCTGCCCTGCGCCGCTGCTCCCCGCAGCACCCCGGGCTGCCCAGGTGGGTGCTGGAGCCGGGGGTGCCACAGGGTGTGTGTCCCCCTTGGGGTGTCCTGGCAGCTGAGGACACCTCTGCTCACGATGCAAGCGGCTTCTGCTTTCCTGTGGAAACGGGGTTTAATCCCAATAATCCCAGCAAAGCCCCTCTCTGAGGCTGATCCCTGTTTCCCTGCAGGCCGGCGGCGAGCCCGCAGCCCCGAAATGCCGGGCAGGGCACCGAGCACCAACGGGACACGCGTGACCCTGCTGGGTGAGGAAGAGGAGGAGGCGGCAGCAGCGCAGGCGGCCGTGCTGACCATCGTCCCGGTCTTCTGTGCCATGGGATTGTTGGGAATCCTGGTGTGCAACCTGCTGAAGAAGAAGGGTTATCACTGCACTGCCAGCAAGGAGCCCCAGCCCGGCGGCACCGGTGAGCCCTGGTGATCCCACATCCATCTCATCTTGCTCAGCCCATTCCTGTGGTTTCTTGTCCTTGTCCCAGGGCATCCTGTGTGTCCTTTGGGTGCCTCATTCCCCATCACAGAGTTTTCCCTAACTACTTCTTCCAGGTGCCAGCTCCATCTACCAGCTGGAGGATGCCAACGAGGACACCATCGGGGTGCTGGTGCGGCTGATCACCGAGAAGAAAGGTCAGGGGGTCCCAGGAAGGGGGAGGAGGGGGTGACCTGGGCCAGAGCCCCGTGACCCCCAGCTCCTTGGTGTCACACACAGAAAATGCAGCGGCGCTGGAGGAGCTGCTGAAGGAGCACCAGAGGCAGCAGCTGATGCCACCGAGCTGTGCCCCCCTCAATAAGTAAGAGGCTGCACTGAGCACCCCCCAGGGTGGGAGCACCCCCACCGTGCTGATGGCATTTCCCCCTCCCCAGGCTGCACCTCCTGCCTCAGTTTCCCCCTGCCTGCCACCACCAGCAGCACCTGCACACGGTGCAGGGCCCGGCCCCGTGTGCCCGCTGTGACCAGAAATGGCCCGAGGTGCTGCCACCGCTCGGTGCCACCAAAGCCCCCAAACCCGGCGCTCATCCCAGCGAGGTGACCATCCTCTCCATCGGCAGGTAAGCAGGGACAGCCCCTGGTGTGCCCCCTCTGCAGGGGGGACAGGCTGATGTGGTGCTCCCCAACAGGTTCCGGGTGTCCCGGATCCCGGAGCTGAGGAGCGAGGCCGGGGGGGAGCCCCTCCGTGGTCCCCTCCCCGCCGGCAGCGGGATGTGACCCCAGATGGAGCAGCACCAAGGGCCCCACCAGGTGAGGGGAGCCCTGGGGTCCTTCCTGGACAAAGGGGTTCTGAAGGCTGGGAAATGGAGCATTAACAGCGTGGGGACACAGTGTGGGGACAGTGAGGCAGGAGGGAGGGACACCCTCACTGCAGGGCCTGGCACGGGCTGGCACGGCCGGGGGCTGCTCTGTGACTCATGGGCAGCTGCAGGGGCTCACGTGCCCTCGCTCACGTCCCCGTGTCCCCTCCTCCAGCAGCGCTGCTGCTGCTGTGACCATCCAGCCCTGGGCCCCTCCCGACATGGACATGGAGGGGCTGGAGCATGGACAGGGCAGGGAACAGAGCTGGGAAGGGAATGGAGCACCAGGAGGGGCTGAGGGAGCTGGGAAGGGGCTGAGCCTGGAGAAGAGGAGGCTCAGGGGAGACCTTGTGGCTCTGCACAGCTCCTGCCAGAAGGGTCAGGCTCTTCTCCCAGGGAACAGGACAAGGGGAAACAGCCTCATCAAATGGTGCCAGGGGAGCTTCGGGTTGGGGAGTGACAGCCATAAATGAGCGACACCGAGTGGCTCCTGCCACCTTGGGTGGTGCGAAGGGGCCAGTCCAGGCTCACCTGTGGTCCATCCCTTGTCCTCCACAGCAGGCACCTGGCCTGGGGGCTGCCTTGGGTCGGTGACACCCACAAAGACCCCGTGCAGGGGTGGAGGACACTGGGCATTGTGTGAAAGCCAGTCCTGCTCAGAGCTGTGAAGTGCTGGAGGTGGCAGCTCAGCTTCTGCTCCTGCCACCAAGGTGTCCAAGAGCAGCACAGCAAATCCAGCATCTCGCTTGGCTGGTGAGAAGGATTCTCTGTCCCTGAGGCCTGATGGTGGCCACAGCATGGTGGCCTCACAGAAGGTGACTCCAGGAGCTGCAATGCCGGGGGTGGTGGCCACAGGAATCATCATCTCTGGGAGCAATGATGCCACCACACAGCTCCACTGGAAGCACAGAGGACACTGGATGCCATTTCGTGGTCACCTTCTGAGTCTGTTGAGCTCTTCAGGACCATCATGAACTCCTGATTTCCCTCCATCACCTGGTGCCAGCGCTCAGCATCGCAGGATAATGAATCACTGGATCACAGAATTATTCCTCCCTTCCCAACAGCCCAGCTGGGGCATGGATTGCTCTGGGCAAAGCTGGTCTCCTGCATCCATCCATCCCTCCATCCATCCTCTTTCCAAAGTCCCAGTTCAGGAGCACACGGTGGTGATGCTCGCCATGCAGATGACACATTTCACTTTCCATAGGAATTGCTTCTATGGGATCACGCTGGCTTGGCCCTGTTGGGATCACTGGGATAACCCATCCAAGGTTGGGTTGGAGACCATCAGCCTCAACCACCAACCCAAAAAAAGGGTTTATGGCTGGTCCCATTCACCTCCCCACAACATCACCGTGCCAAAAAAACAACCACCAAACCCTCTCGGGCTCTTTTATTTATTTATTTAATTTTTTTTGGAAACATTTTAATAGTTATCGAATGTTCTACATCTTACAGTAAATATCGTACAGTTACAAACTCTTGGCTGAAATCTGTCAGGGAGATCACGACCTGATCTTCAGAACCAAAACCAGAACAGAAAACAAACGGGAAAACAACCCCAAATTTACACTTCAGATGGACAAACTGAGGCTGTGGGGCTCTCCAGGGCATCAGTCCAAGGCCATGTTCCCTACACACCTGTGAGATGTAGACTTGGAAGACGTGGTTACTCTTGGGTTTAAATTTTTTTTTTTTTTGTTACTGTTCTTTCAGGGAAAATTTTTTTTGGTATTTATTCTTATTTAAGAGGTCCAATAATACTTAAAAATGAGCTGGTCTGGTGGTTGAAATCAATTTAAAATTAATTACATAGAAAGAGGGGTGGGAGCCTGGTGTGGGTTGAGGCCGTGTTGTGGGGATGGGAGGGTTTGGGTGTGACCCTGCACCTTGCCATGCTTCCCTACAAATCCCTCCCCAGATCCTGAACCCCTCTTCCCCCTGGAAAATTCCAGCTCCCAGCTCCATCTCTTGCAGGAGGATGCGGGGAGGCTGCAGGTGGCCATGTTGCATCAAGATTATTCCCTACAAGCAGCACAATCGAGCGCTTCCAAATGGGAATCGCTTCTGTCAAACCACAAATTTTGCTATTCCTGCCCTGCAAACATTCCCACAAGTTCTTTTACCTGATTGCCAGAGAATCTCCAAGTGCCATGGTGCAACATGCCACAGAAATGCCTTTTCCAAGGATTTCCTCCCTCCCAAGCTCCGTCACAGGCTTTATTTTCCTTTTTTTTTTTCCCTAAGGGAATGCTAACACACAGCAGAGAAAATATCTGGAAGCTGATCCTGGCTTGGGAGCAAAGTGAAGGGAAGATGGGCAGAGGGTCACCACAGTTGGAGGGCCTGAAAATATTGGCAATTAAAAAAAAAAACACAAAAAAAAAAAACCCAAAAATTCCTGGATTTATGGGTATCCAGCAGCTCTTATTGCTATTGTTGGCTGGTTGGATTTTACCAAAAATAAAGCCTCAAATGTTGTTTTCCACCCTGCTGAAAAGCCAGGATCCCATTTCATGCCCTCCAGCTGGGAACCACATTCCCAGAGGGGATGGCAAAGAGTCAGGGGGTCTCTCTGGGAAGGACCAGATTCAGTGGGATGCTGGTGGCTGGAGGAAAACCTGATGCTCTGAACATCCCTCATTAAAACAAACCCCTTAAATAACATTTCCTGGGAATTACATCCCAAAACTGAAACCATGCTGAACTGAGTGATTTATTATTCATAACTTGCAGTAGCAAATCCTTGCCTGGAGGGTTCAGCCACTTGGAGGCATGATGGCCTCAGGCTTCAAGGGGCTCCTGGGCTTTGGGGGTCACCACCACCACTAAAATCCTATTTTCCCCCAAATCTTGCATCGCAGCTTGTGTTCTGAACTAAAGGTAAGGTCTGGGATGGATTAATGGTTCAGAGTTATTTTTCCTTCCTCTTTAGCTGGAATTTTAATCTTGGACACTTCAGTGGCTGCTAAGGATGGTTTAACCCCTCCTGCTCTTTCCCACTGATGCCCAGTGTGATCCTCCACTGTGGAAAACCCTTTTCCTTAACCAACATCAGCAAAGCTTTGCTGGAATGAAATATCTGAGAAGCTGGTGGCCCCCATCAGTGTCCCCCATTGTGACCTTCCCAGGACCCTCAGTTGAGCCATGACTTGACCAAGGGATGGACTTGGGACCCAGGGAAGGGCAGGGAGCATCTCCCCACCTTGGGAAGGAGCTACCCAAGCCTGGCACTGTGTGGTGACCCCAGAGCCATGTGGTGGCCCTGGTTCCACACAGTGGCTCAAGGCTGGTTACCAAATGTCCTCACTAAAGCCTCTGGCCCAGCAGGTGGCAAATATTTCACCTCTCCACACTTTGGTTAATGAGTATTTCTGCCTGGGAATAATGGGATGAGGAGCTCTGGATCTGCTATTGATCCAAGCAAAGGAATTAAAACCCAACTGCCCTGTGCCAGTGGGAACACTGGGTGATCCACCGTGTTCATCTCCTGGGGCTTTTTCCCCCATCTTTAATGTTTCTTTTCCTTCCAGGAGAAAGCCCAACATCTCCTTTCCACACATGGGCCAGAATTTTAGGAGTGGTTCCTGAAGTGGTGCAGGGTGTCTGGGACAGTGGTGGGATGGTGTCTGCTGGTTCAGGTTGTTTGCAGAGCCCAGGCTGGGATCCCAAAGCTTGCTGGGACCCCACAAACCAGAGCGCCATTACGAGGGGAGACCTGACTCAGTGCTGACAGACAGCTCCTGGTGTGTAACACAGAGTCAACATGAAAAGGGGATCTCAGAAATCTTCAGTTCTTAGGATCTGGGGATTTTTTGGCCCAGGTTTAACTGCAATGTGCTACAAACAGTGCAAGGATGATGTGTGGGTGTTATTTCCCAAGGCCCTGTTGCTCTTTACTAATCCTTGGCTTTGCCAAGCCAAATGGGGAACCCACTGATGATTGGCTCTTTTTCCTTTCTCCTTTCCCTCAATACCACCCCAAAGTGCAGCCCAAGGGTGCCCCTTCCCCACCCCACAGCACAATCTTCCCCCACTTTGTTCCTCTTGAGGCTGAGGAGGTCAACCAGAGCTTTGCTCTAGATTTCCTTCAAAACCAGCAGAATCAACCAAATGACCCCCAAACAGAAGTGCCAATGCCAACACCCAACCTGACAAACTCCTGGGACCAACCAGTGGGAGGGAAAGAGCTCCAGGAGCCCAAGCCAAGCTGGGAGACTCCACTGAGAGCATGGAACATTTTGGCACACTTGAGGCAAAAATCAAAACCTAACCAAGCTTTTGTCATTAAAAAAACCCCAAAAAAGTCCCAAACCCCTTGTTTCTATGCTGGGTTTAGTGACAAGGATTTAAAAACAAACTGGCCACAAGCATTGTCTGCAAATCCAAACTGCCTCTGCTGCCCTCAAGACAACTTATTGCTCTACTTGGACACCCCGAGGGGGGATGTCACCAGCTTACTGTCCCCATGTCCCCAGGTAAGCCAAACCCCCCCAAAATGACCCTGATGCCCACAGCCTCTGTGTGCCTGGTGCCCCCCATCCTGGTCCATGCCAACTGTGGATCACCTTCCCTGCTGTCACCTCTTCTCAGGTGCCTTCCCGTGAAGGAGGCGACGTGTTTATTGCTATTGCTTCCTCCTCTCCCACCTCTCCAAGCAGAGCAGCCAGACATCATCCCCCTCCCCAGCTTTCTCTGTGGTGCTGGTATTTGTGCTTGGATGAACGTTTCTCCTGGAAGTCCTGGAGCTGTAACCCAAGAATGGGAAGGGAACACCTCAACTGCCACCGAGGCCGTGCAGTTTGGTCTCAGCCCCGCCAACACCATGGCTGCCAGCTGAAGCCACCCATCCTGCCCTCACTCTGCCTTGAAGACCCATCTCCATCAACCAGACGCCCTCTTTTCCCACACCACCATACTCTGGAGAAGCTCCTCAGACCAAAAACTGGACCTGGAGGAACTCTTCAGACCAAATCCTAAACCTGGAAGAGCTCCTCAGACCAAACCCTAAGCCTAGAGGAGCTCTTCAGACCAAATCCTAAACTGAGAGAAGCTCCCCAGATCAACCCTTGGACCTGGAGAAGCTCTCCAGCCCAACCTTTGGACATCTCCTTGCTTCCCTCAGCAGCTGCCCAGCACATCTGTGACTGCAAACAGCAGCCACACAAGGAAGGAGCCTCCTTCTCCCTCACACTGCCTCAGGATGTGGCTGAGGGGGAGCATCCCGTTCTCCCAAGGGGTTCCAGATGCTCCCAGGGCATGCATCTACCTGCTGCTCCCTTCCCATCACCCATGATCCGTGTGCCCAGTTGGAAAAAGCAGACCAAAGACCTGCTGGTGACCAGTCCTCGTGCTTCCTAAGACAAGTGTGTTACGTCGCTAATTATATTTATATTCTCTTACTCCTACAAAAAGAAGGGATGAGTTCAGAATTCCACTGCAGATAATGCATTTATAATCTATCACGACAGCTATCTGGAAGACACCAATTTTCTTGTAATATGTTATGAAAGATTGAATAATTTATATTCTTCAACTAAAAATACCCAAACCAAATCGGAATAAGCCTGCCTACCAGCGCTGTGCTTTTCACATAGTACCCTGAACATCAACCACTCTTACTAGCCAAAAAAAATCTAGGCTCTTGTCAACAACAACAACAACAGAAAAATAACAGAAAGAACCCAAACGAACAAGAAGTGGGGGGATCTTTGCACCACTCAGCTGGGCAATGCTGGAAAAGTGAAGATTCTGAGCTTTCAAATGATAGGACCGAAGAGAGAACTCGACTATTGCTCAGTGTCAGTATGTGTGTTACACAATTCATGTGGGAGGGGGAGGAAGGGGGGAAAAAAGAGGCAGAAGATTAGAAAAAGCAGCTTTTACAAAAACCACTAAAGAATGCATAAAGTGACCCTTGCACTTTTTTTTTTCTTTTGTTCTTGCAAACAGACGAGGTGCTGCAGCCCAGCGGCCGCAGCACCGATGTAAGACTTGTGTAGTTGCATACAATGTTTGACTCCGGATCTGGAAGAGAGCAAATACATTAAAAACAGGGAGTTAGAAGGATGTTCTCCTCTTCTCTGCACCCCTGCACCACGTGGAGCTGATCCATATGGAATTTAACCATCCCTGTGGGCAATTTGTCAGGCGAGGGAGCTGGGAAAGCAGCAGCTTACCCGGTGGTATCCAACACAGAGGATTACAAATATGCAGATGAGCTGCTCCCTGCTAATTGCACACCAATTTGGGAGGGGCAGGATTAGCCCGGTGTAATTTGTGTGGCACAGAGAGATTTTAGATAACCCCAGGGCTGGATGGGATCTCCATGGGCAGCATCGTGTTCCCATCAGCTGCCTGTGCTGGTAATTGGGCATGATGGGCCAAGGACTGCAGGAACAAGCAGCTGGGATTTCTGGGATCCCAGGCATGACAGGAACACACAGGCAGTGCACGCAACCCCGGTGCTAATGAACAGCCTGATCTCCCAGCAGGGGAAAGGAAATTTTCCAGGGACACAAAGATGGGGAGGGACTCTTTGTCAGGGAATGCAGTGAGAATGGTTTCAAACTGCCACAGGGCAGGGTTAGATGGGGTACGGGGAAGGAATTCCTCCCTGCCCAGGGAAGCCCCATCCCTGGAAGTGTGCAAGGTCGGGCTGGATGGGCTTTGGAGGCAGCACTCACATGGATTGGCCAGTGGTTTACCAGTGTGGAGGTACGTAGCTGTAGGTGGGGGTTCCTTGAGCCCTGTACGTTGGCACGGACACTGGATGTGCTCCGATGGCAGTGTGTTGGGGGGTGGTCAACAAGGTTCCTGCAGGGACAGGGGAACACTTGGCACGGGGCAGAGGAGCTGGCATCCGTGCCTACGGTGGGGCAGGGACAGCATCAGCTGCCTACTTTTCCCTTTTTCCCTTTTTTCCCCTCTCCCTTTCCCCTTTTTCCCTTTTCCCTTTCCCCTTTCCCCTTTTCCCAGATAATTCTTCTGCCTGCCAGACCTGATTCAAAGGTGTTGGACCCATGTGATTGGGATCAGTCAGCACCACAAACAGAATAAGAACACCTGAAGCTCCAGCAGATTTTCCATGCTACCTCTGGCTCTTAACCTGAAGGCTTTTCCTTGTTTTTTTCCAGTGTTCCTTGTCCCTAAAGACAGGGAGCAAAGCTGGCCACAACCTGCTGACATCTATCTGCTGAAAGCACTGGGACAGCAAATCACTGCACAGATCTGAAACAAACCAGGAAGGGATGAGGGATGCAAAGGGAGATGAGGAAAAAAACAACCAACAGATCTCCAAGGAAAATTAAGATGAGCCTTTTTTTAAGTCTGCAGTCGGTCACCAGAAGGATTTTAGGTCAGAATTTGCACAGTGCCTTCATGGGGAGGGAGAACACAGCCCTGGACTACTCTGTTCTGGGAGCAACTGGGTGCTCAAACCAAATTCTCAGTTTCTGGGTATCTCTCTACAAATGTTATTAATGAAATTCTAACACATCCCAAGTGCATTTATCCACTTCTTAATATAAGCAACAGTAAATCTCTCAGAGTGGTTCTTGTCACATCCAGGCTGCAATATCTCTGCTTGGAATAGGGATTGTGTCCCATTACAGACCCCTATTTCACAGCTAATGCAGATGCAAAAGGATGAATGATGCATTTCTTGGCATAATTCAATATACAATTCCAAGAATTGTTAAGGAGAAAAATACAGGCTTTGGAAAAAATAATTAAAAAAACCCCTATCTTACTTAATGTGCAGTTAGAATCTGCATGTAAAATGTAGAGAACTGGGATAGATAAAACAAGGTTAACATTCATTTTGTCAAACAAAACCATGACCAAAAGTGTCTTTAAAAAAAGAGCTTGAGGGAAGTACAACTACTTGAGGATGAACCAACTTGGTTATTCCTTCACTTAAGGAACAGACAGAGGAAGGGACAATATATTGAAGGATACAGAATAATGTATCTAAGGATGCAGGAGTGAGCCAAACCAAAGGTCTCCTCTGCTGAGTCAGATCAGGATTTGGGGCAAATTCCTGCTTTTTTGCCGGCACAGGAGCAGTACCCAGCAAGCAAAACCAGCAGGTGAAGCGAGGCAGCACTTGGGAGATTTTCTGCCCGTGTTTGCTTACCTGCTGACATTGCCATGGTGGTGCCAGCCACCATGCCCATGGCCACGCCGTTGGTGCGGGGCGCGGCCACGGGCGCGGGGTAGATGGCCGAGGGGATGCTGTTGGGCTGCACCACCGTGGTGTGGTGGATGACGTGGGGCTGGGCCGCGTACACGGGCTGGGTGTAATAAGCTCCCTGGTGGAGAAAGGGAGGGAGGGAAGAAAAAAAAAAATCCCATCATTATTCCAGGTTTTTTCACAACCTAAGGAGTTCTCGGTTCTGTAACTCGAGCGCTGCCCAAGGGCTGGTGGGTGGTGCTCCCATGGATGAGCTCCTGTGCCTGGGATGCCTTGAGAAGGCTGCCCTAGAACAGAGACTAGACAGAGCTAAAGAATAAAGTAGGGATTTATTAAAAGGATATCCTCAATGGATACACCTTGGGCAGCACAAGATGCTACACTCAAGATGAACCAAAATGGTCACAAAATGCACAACCGATCACGGGATCTCTCAGTTTTATAAACTCTGCTCCATTTGCATCTTGGAGTTAATTGCCCAATTACAGTCCCATTCTTCCTGTTTTCTCTCTTCATTTCACCGTTATTTATGCTTTTGGGCCTGAAATTTGGATCATTTGTCCTTGGTCCCCAGCTAGAAAAGGAATTGTTTTGTCTCCCTATTCTGTGAAGAGAGCTTACCAACACTTAACATGAAACTCAGAGCTACACACCAAGAATACACAAAACAGACTCTGAAAAATATGAAAGCTAAAACTTAAGGCATCACCAAGAGACCTGAGCCTGGGGATATGGGGAATGCATGAGGAGGAAATCACCAGTCAGAGAGTCAATCCATCCAGGACAAACCCTGCTGTCTCCCTTTGATGGGATGAAACAGAGCCTGGACACAAATGGCTGCTGGAGTAGAAAAGGAACAAGAGATGGAAGGAAAGGACAAGCCATGGTTCTTGGATGATCCCAAGGTGCTTGGGTCCAGGTACTGTGTCATCTTCTTGGGTTTCACAGAGGGCTCCAAAATCCAGGCTGCCAAGGCTCGCAGGGTTTTGAAACAAGGGGAGAAGCATGCATGGGAATAAAAGGAGCCAACAGAAAAAGAAGAAAAAGCTTCACATGCTAAGTAATGAAGGGCCTGAAATGAGGAGATGCACAAGGGAGAGAACTGCTGTCCCCAGAAGAGGCAGCAACACTGTCAGGACCTGCAAACCAGGCATGGGAGGAAAGAAAACAAAGATTTGAATCAGCAAAAGGGAGATTTTACTGTGCAGTAGTGAAAGCCCCATTAGAGAACCTCCGATGGTCTGGATTAAGGGGAAAAGGAGGTGCAGGGCAACTATTCCATCCCTTCTTTCTTTCAGGAGCTACAAATGTTCACAGGACAAATGGCAGATTCTGTGATTGGGACTGGAGAAGAGCCAGTGTGCAGGGGTGGGTTGGACTCCAATGGACTCAGGTGTGTTGGGGCGTGGCTGAGGGGACAGGAGGTGGCACCTACCTGGGTGTACAGGTTCTGCTGTGGGTAGGCACTTCTGATGGGGTACATCGCGGTCTGGTACGGGTTTGGAGACGGCGAGTAGGGAGGAGGGGCGTTGTTACTCTGGGTTGGTGGCACCTTGTAGGGAGTCCCCGCAGTGTACCCTGCCACAGACACAAGAGGAGTCCCAGTTAGGGGCTGGAATGGCTGCTCAGGGCTGGCAGGAGGGCTGGGAGAAACCATCCCCTGAGCAAATGGGCCCCGAAGACTGCGTGGGATGGAGAGGAGAAGGCAAGGCCCAGCCCAGCCAAAACACTCAAATATATTTCACTTATTTAACTTATTTACTCAAATATATTTAACTTATTTACTCCACCAGCGTTCAGCAATTAGAGATGGCCAAGATTTCAAGTCTAATATCCCACATCATCCTCCAAGCACTGAAACAACGAAGAGCGAAGAACACACGGAACTTTTAGGAGCTCCCAAACAGCATCTCACCCCCTCCTGATTACTGCAAATTGGAAAAATAGGTGTTAATTGACAAGGGGAATAGCTGTGACTCTTTTCCTCACTCACATTAGCAGGAGAGCAACCATCTTTGAATGAGAAGTGGAAAAGGTTTGAAATATTGATCGGAGCAGAAGTGCAGCCTCCTCCATCAGGACTCCTCCAGGAACCCAGCATCAAGCACACACCAACCAACCTCCTGGTTTTACATCTAATGGATTTTCTTTAGTCTGAACTCATTTTTTTCAAACAAATACCTCAGGGGCTGCAAGTTCTCAGTGTCACACTTCATTTCTGAGGGTTGTCTAGAGGTGTGGACCTGCTCAAGCCTGTGTGGTTTCACCACTTTGAATACCAAGACTTGCAGTGTTTCCTGATGGATGAATCACAGACAGTTTATCTCCTATATTAAAAAGGTATTAAAACACAATAACCCAGGCAGATGTAATCTGCTGTGTTTATAAACTGGGGAAAAAACAGAACAACCTGCAGGTAAAACAATGTGAAAACAAGGTTTAATGACACAAGATGATGGAGGCTCCTCTCTGTCTGGCAGATAATTTTAAAACCTATTTATGACTAACACCTTATTAGGATTAGGCTGGCATGGCCCGTGCTGCTGCCACTTTGTGGTTCACCAGCAGCAAGCCTTTAAGCTGCAGTTTCTATTAAAATTGCTGATTAAATCCCTCATGTCACTCCAGAAATCTCAGCCTTATTGATCCTGCAGCTCACAAGCGCCCTGGATTGCACAGAAATGGTTTTCTACAAAAGGCTTCTTGTGGGGGGAAAAAGAGCTCAGTGGGGAATTTTGTGCTGCTGCTTGTTTCCAGGGTTCACCACAAGCAGGATTCCTCAGCTGGGCAAGGAACTGACAGGATGCCCACAATTCTGTCCCTCTGCCTCCCTCAGGTGAGAGCCCACCTGCAGAGCTGCCTCCAGCCCTGGGGACACAGCAGAAGGATGTGGAGCTGCTGGAGAGAGTCCAGAGGAGGCCACAGAGCTGCTCCAGGGCTGACCGTGCCCACTGTACAGCCCCTACCCCAAGGAATGGTAGGGACATCCTTTTTCCAAGAGAAAGGCTCCCAAAGACGTTTAAAATATTTATTTTTAATAACTCTTTTTGTAAAAAAAAAATACATTTCTTCCTCTCACCTTGTTGTGTAATTGATTGGATTTAGAAGGAAAAAGGAGTCTGGAGTAGCTGTAAGGTGAGGAACCCTCTGACCCCACACCACTCATGCACCAGATTAAGCAGGGGCCATAGGACACCCCACATACCAGGCAAAGCATCCCAGGGTTTATCAGGGAGCTTATCAGCCCTCCTGGAGGCACTCCTTATCCTCTTCAGGGATGAGATGACAAGGCTGCACTGGAAAAGCCTGTTTGACTGTGATCCCTCAATGGCATCTCCTCCCCCTGCTCCTGCTCAGCCAGCCTGGGTTACAAGGTGGGAGTTTCAATAGTGCTCCTTGAAAATCAGGCTTTATTTTGGAACTCTTTCAGTTTTAAGGGAATGGGGAATAATGTCCCTTTGGAGATAAACACCTGTGAACAACCCTGGGTTGCTCCCGGGATCAAACACTCAGCTAAGAGAGAGATTTCACCTTCTCCACTGGAATTCCTCCTCTGCAGCAGCAGCAGGAGGATCAGTGCTCTCCTTTCCATGATCCTGCATGGTTTTAATCCATCAAAGCCAGGCTGGATGGGGCTTGGAGCAACCTGGTCTAGTGCAAGGTGCCCACGAGGGTTGGAGCAAGACAATGTTTAATTCCCTCCCAACCCAAACCAGTCTTTGATTCTGTGATCCCAAATAACCCTGTCCACAAATTCACCCCCACCAGGGGAGGCAAACAGGCACACACCAACCCAGAAACCCCCAGAAGGAAAGGTTTATTTACTGAATGCTGCAGAAGAAGCCTGGTAGGTTCTGTTCTCCGTGCCGGTGTCCACCGGGAGGTGGAAGGTGCCCTCGGTGGCACAGGACGAGGAGGTCTGGGGCCAGGCCTGCTTCATCAGAAGTGTGGCTTGAGTGGAGACAGAGAAGAGTGTCACACAGAGCAGTGAGAGACAGCTCCCCACACTTATGCCACACTGGAATCACCTTGTTAATCTCTTCCCTCCAGGTTCCTACCCCCGAGGTGCTGAGCCCCACGGAAGGGACTTCAAGCTTTGGGCAGGGCTTGGAAATCATCCTGGAGTCCCAAGACTGAGCAAGGATGTTCCACACCCTCCACATCTGCTGAGACTCTGAATTGACCCTCTCTGAAGGTACAGCTGTAAATCTGGAGTGTCACAGGGCTGAAGTTGGGAACAATTGGGATCAATCCTCCGGACTGGGGTCACAGCTTGCAGCAGCACAACACATCCCAGAGGATGGAAATCCACCTCCCAGAGAGTGCAGGGAAGCACTGCTGCAGGTCTGCTGGTCCACCAAACCCTCCTGAGACTCTCTTGGACTCAGACAGGAATGGGGAGCACGGAGGACACCCAGCAGTGCTGCTGTGCTGGCCATCAGCAGCTGTGGAGATACTCATGGGTGTGAGATCCACCTGGATGCTGCTCCGCTGCTGGAGATGTGGAACTCTGCTCCTCCCTCCTCCTCCTCCAACAGAAAACCAGGAGCTTTGAGGGAAGTCAGAGATTCAAGCTCAATTTCTCCTCCACTCAGTCACTGAACATTTTCTGCTCCAAGTGTCTGCCCTCTCCCAAAGGTTTGGGAGTTATTAAGGATTTCCAGGCTGCCTTGCTTTATTTTCCATGCTAGGCTGCACTCAGGAACATCACACTGGAGAGCAACTCCCAGTGCTGCCACAGAAACACTCTCTCACTTATGCTTTTACTCAGAATCAGATTCACTTTTGCCTCTGGATTCCACAGAGGTTTTAATCTCTGAGACTGATGAGACAATTCATTCCAATGTTACACGAATCCTTCCTCTGTGGTTTTCCCTCTCCACATTAAACCTGCCACAAAATCAAGGCCATTTGGGTTGGAGATGGCTGGGAGATGGCCACAGCTCTGCATGTTCTTTATTAAATCACAGATCCTCAGAGAATCCATCACTTAAAGCTACACAAAAGGTGGACCAAGGAGGCTTCCAGGAACATAAATACCTCCTGCTCCTTTGCAATAATTCACAGGGATTGCAATCCAGCCATGACTATCTAATACCATTTAAAGGCCACCTCCAACCAGTGTCTTCTGGATTTGGTTTATCCTCTCACCTAAAAATAAATAAAATAAGGAGTTTTTATTAATTATCAGTTTAACCCCTGGGAAATGAACCAGTGGGAGCTGAGCAGACAATGTGAGCTGTGGGTCTCTGCAGCACTGGGACTGCTCTGTATTCCTGACAGGACCTTTAGATGATGTCGGAATGTTCAGGACATGTTTTAAGTGGAAAAGATAAAATTATGAACCCTTTCAAAGCATTGTAGGATATCCTGCTTCCCTCTAACAACCTCATTTGTGATGGATACAGCCTCCAGCCCTGAACAAAGTTTGCAATAAGCTTAATTCCCCAGGCAGTCCCGTGCCTGAGTGTCTCAAAATGATGAGAGCATTTATTCCTGGAAAGCCTTGCGAGGCACCACAGGATATTCCCCTCTCCAGATCCCAAGATACCCCTCAGGAGACCCACTGGTGTCCCCAAAGAGTGGGTGGGCACCTCTAGAGGATGGCTCAGAGCACTGCTGATGCTGCAACTCCCTTCTGCAAAGCAGCATTTCCTCCAGGCAGGATCCAGAAGCAGGAATGGGGGATTGGAGCCTCCATCCTGCCCCACGACATTCCCACACAGATCCCTCATTTCTGAGGCTGATTTTAGTCCTGCTCTGTAAGGGCACTGCTGCAAAGCCATTACTTCTGCCCTGCATTATTAATAAACACAGCTCCAGCCTCAGCCAGCCTCCACGAGCAAAATGTGTGTCCTACTTTCAGAAAAATAAAAAGGGAGGCTTTAATGAAGGAAGTTAAAACAAAACAACCATGAGCAAGACAGAATGCCTGTGAGGGAACATGCACCAGGCTTAATGAAGACATACATAATTTTATTTTTTTTAAATTGTGTCTTTGCAGCAGAGTGATTTTAGATGCTCATTTCTGCATACTTAAAAGGGATTTTTTAAGAACAGTGTCCTAAAAAAAAAAAGGCTTATTGCAAGCATGAGTTTACAATGCTGGTGGTTTGCCTTGTATCTCTCCCTCTAAAAACTGTGGAAAATGCAGCAGGAAAATCACACAAGGCAGGAACTTGAAGTGCAATGGAAAGGAATTGATAAGAATCACAGAACATCCTAAGCTGGGAGGGATCAATGAGGATCATCCAGTCCAACTCATGCCTTTGCTCACAGGGCTCCTTTGGAATAATCTGGGGAATAATTTAACACCTTTTGGGCTCAAACACCAGCAAATATCTACTAGAAACCTGGCATTGGGAGAGGGAGAAATCAAGACTGGCTCCAGTCACCATCTCCCTTTCCTCAGTGGAGGAAACAAGAGGACTCCAGACTTCTCCAAGTTCCTCTCCTTGTTTCCCTCTGATGCTGTTGCAAAGCTTAGGTCACTACATCATTAAATTTCCCAAGTGGATCCCAGGGGTTTGGGAACCACGAGGTCAAGAGAACAGCATGAGCATGGCTGACTTCCAGTGAAGCTTCAGGGAGTGTTTGGAGAACACATCAGGGACAAAAGCAGGTGGGATTTGAACACTGGAATTATCTTCACTCAGGGGTCGATTTCCTGCCAAGACTTTGCACGGAATCCACCAAAATTCATGAGGTTTGAGACAAGAGACACCTGAGAGGGAGCAGGAGCATCTTCAGGGTGCAGCAGAGAGGGAGATCAAGCTGGGACAGAAAGGTTCTGTTCAAGAGACCTTGCTTGCAGGTACCTCCCAAGAACTCAGAAACCACAAGCTCTTCCCACCCTTTCCAACCTCTGTTCCAAGCAGTATTGAGGGACACCTTTCCCTGGGTAATCTCCATATGGAGAATCAGATGAACCCTGGGTTTGTGATTAGTTTTAGTGAGCTGGAGGGATTTCTGCCAGCAGGAACCACCTCCTGCCCAGCCTGGGAGCTTTGGAACAGGACCTTGTCCGTGGATGGGATGCTCAGGAGCAGTTATTCTGCTGGGAATGTGCAGCATCTCTTTCTTTTTTAGACTCAATGTCTAAAACCCCTTAAAAACATATTTAGAATTAGTCTGCTGTTTGAGAAGTCCAAGATTTTGACCCCCAAGCTGATTCCCAGTGTGTTTGAAGGACACCCAGGAGCACATTCCTCTCCAGGCTTTTTCCAGCCTCCTGTGTGACAGCAGCTCCTTCAATTTGAGGAAACACTCTCTGTACTGATGAAGGTTTTAGCTCAGCCACTGAACCACAGAATTAGCTCAGCCCAATTCCATTTAACACAGTTGAGGATGCTGTCACTCTGTCACATGTCCCCACTGCTGGGAGATTTTATGGCACTTCTTTTCCATCAGTTAGCTTTCAAAATCTCTTTTTTTTTTCCTCCTGGAAGTCTGCTTTCCATTGAGAAGGGACCACTGAGTGTGGTGCTGGGAGGTCCTGAGCAGCAGAGCCTGCTCCTGCTTCCCAGAGTGGTTAAAATGGTTTAAAATCCTGCTGTGATATTAAATGGTATTGATTTCAAGAGCTGCAAAAATTGTTTAGAACAGAACCACAGAATGGTTTGGGTTGGAAGGGACTTTAAGGACAATCCAGTTCCAACCCTGTGCCTTGGGCAGGGACACCTTTACCTAAACCAGGTTTCTCCAACTTGCTCTCATGATTTATGGGAAACTCTATAAAAGTTTCAGCATTTTCATTCCAGTTTTAATTTCTGAATTTTAATCTTCATAGTTTCCTTAGTTTAGTGCTTAGCTGTGTTAACCACTGGAAGGTTTTTGTTCTCCATTAAAATTGACCTGTCAGCTCTCTGGACATCAGGAGATTTCCAGGCAGGAAATTATTAAATGGTGTCTAAGATGTACAAGAAGCAATTCAGAGTCCCCAAAAATCCCTATCCTTCAGTGATTTGGGGTTTCCTCTCACTTGGGTGTTCCCTTGGCCATGTGCCCACTGAGTGGAGGAGCTGCTGCCTGCACAACTGGGGACAAGTGACATTTTGTAATATCCAGGCCAAAATGCCAGAATGCTGCAGTATTTACATTCCTGGCTGAACAGGGAGGACATTGCCAGCCTCTGGCAGGACAAGCTACTAATAAATTTATGGGCTTTTTCTTATTCTGTGGAGTTGTTTTCATTTAATTCCTCCAGTGTTTTATCCTTCAGGGGAAAGGAGGGTGGCCAGCACAAATCCAGGGGAACAAAAATTGTTTCATGTTCCATGTTAAGGCTTTAATGGGAAGAAATGCAGCTAAAGACCTTATTAAAAGCACATAAACCCAAACAAAACACAACAGATCCCTTCCAGAATCATCCGCAATAAACAGCTTTATGGAATATGTGTAAACTGTGATGTGGAGAAGACAAAACCAAAAGATTTTGGCAACAAACCCCTCATTCCTGTTTCATCAGCCTTGGAAAGCGCCTGAGCTGGGGATCCACTGATTTTATGACAACTGGGAGACTGAAAACCTGGCAACTAAGGGGAAGAGAGGGTTTAGCAAGACTGGCACAAAGTCCAGCTCCTCCTGCTGCACACTGAGCTCAGAAGGCAGCTTCATTTGGAAGTGCTAAAGTCCTGCAGCTCTTCTGAGGCAACGCCATTCAAAATAAACATCTCAAGCAACCAAAAGTCGAATTGAAGGGTGAGATGTTATTTTTCATCTGCAGTGCTTGGGAATGGATGAGCAAGGAATGTTTCCAGGCCTTTCTCAGGATATTTACCTGGGGCATAGCCGGGGCTGCTGGTTGGATACATGTTGGGATTGTAGGCTGGGGCAGCAGTGGGATAGCCTGTTGGATAACCTGAAAGGAGAGGAAAACAGCATTAGGATTTTATCAATCAAGCAAGGATGGCAGCCCTGAAGAGCAATAAACAACCTGTGAGAGCAGAGAGGCCACTGAGGGAAAACATAGGTGGATTTTCTGGGGATAGGAAGGTCCATGAATGTGCTCCATGTGTGAGATCATCAATATTTCATCCTTATTCCTGTAGGAAACAAGGATCAGAATGCAGAATGCAGGTGTGCTCACTGTGCTTTGGAGAAAACTGCTGGGAAAATCCATACTCTGAACGTGGAATTCATGTACAAAACCCCACCAGCACAGCAATATTGGAAAGGTTTTCCTGGGCTGCGTGGCAGCACTTTGGAGAGCTCAGCACTTCCATTAAGCAGAGTTTCTTGCTGAAGGGAAGGCAGGGATCCTGCAGGAAAACATGCCAGCCTTGGATTCACCCATGGCTGCACAAGTGCTGTTCCCAGGAGGGACCTGATTACCTGCCAGGCCACCTGGAAGGACCCTTTGGAGCCAGGCAGGGTTTAATGGGCACTTTGGGCAGGGTTGCAGAGCATCTTCAGCTTGCATCAGCCTCACTGGTAGAGGTCAGAGGGAGTTCAGGGGAATTGTGTGATGGCAGTGAGGGGCTGCAAATCGTGGCACAGCCCAGAGCCTGTGTGCACCCACACAGTGCAGGATCCAATTCCTACTTCACTGGAAATTCCTGTCCTCTGTGGAGAGCACAGCCACAACCTCTGCACCTTGGTCTGCTCCTTTTCCACAGAATCACCCAATGTCCTGAGCTGGAAGGGACCCCAGGGATCATCCAGCCCGACCCCTGTTCCTGTATAGACACCCCAAATCCCACTCTGTGCATCCCTGGAGCACTGTCCAAATGCCCCTGGAGCTCTGTGGGGCTGTGCCCATTCCCTGGGGAGCCTGGGCAGTGCCCAGCACCTCTGGGGTAAGAACCTTTCCCTAAAATCCCTTAAAATCCAACCTGAACATCCCCTGGCACAGCTCCAGCCCTTCCCTGGGGTCCTGTCACTGCTCACCATTTTGCTTTTCATTTCCTTCAATTTCTTGCAGGTTTTCCCTACAGAAAAGAGCAACACCTGAACAACTCCATCCTCCTTAGGTGCTGCTGAGTAAATCCCTCTGGCAGAGGGAGCAGGACACGTTAACCCTGCTTTGCTGGTGGACAATTTGGCTCTGCTGAGTGTCACCACTCAGTTTATCTGTGTGTCCCCTTGGCCAGCATCCCAGAGCAGAGCCAATGCAATGGCCCTTGGAGAGGGTTTCCATGCCAAGCCCCACTGATACTGCCTGCTGGCTGCCAGCAAAGGCTGTAAGGAAGTAATTAGCAGTGGATTTACACCCATCTTTTTTAATATTTTATTTTATTAAATTAAAGCCAGCATGGGTCTGTATTTCCCTCTTCTGAGCACCAAAAAAGCCACAGCACAGTCTCCCCTCCCACACCCTAAATCCCACTGCTCCCAAACCCTGGCACCACTGGCTTCTGTGGCAAAATGTTGAGGTTCATTTGAATAAATCTAATTCAACAATCATGGCCACTGTACTGGAATAAATGACTGGATGTTCTACCCTCTCATTTTCATCAGTGATATACTTGGCTTCTAAATCAGGTTAATTAAAAATTGCTGTAGTTAATGTTGGATAAGCAGCAGTTTAACAGATTTTTTTTTTTTGGTTGTTTTTTAGGCTACACAGAACTCTGTTTTCAACACACCCAGGAATATCTAAACCCTTTCAGCAATCAAGAAGCTCCTTAGAAAGTTATTTGCAGATCCAGTGATTGCAAGCAGAGCATTAATGATGAGGATCTTAAATCAGAAATATCCCTTCTCTCCAGCTCATTAGAAGACAACCATGTCTTTTCCAGGACATTCATTGCTCCACACTCTTCCCGTTTCCTCCTGACAGTCTGGCCAGGGGTGCTAAATCAACCCCAGCTCACTTCTTGTGTATTTTCCCTAAAATTGTGTCTTTTCCTGTGTTTCTTCATAGGGTTTTATCTTCTTGGCACATGGAATCCCAGACTGGTTGGGGTTGGAAGGGACCTCAAAGACCATCCCAATTCCCTGCCACGGGCACAGATGGTGACGGCTGTGTGTGCCCTGGTGCTGGGAAGTCCCCTGCCCATTTGCAAGGGATCCAGGTGACAGGTTCTTGGGGCTCCTGGAGGTGCTTCTGACCTTTGCTGCTGGAAAATCCCCCCAGATAAGCCCTGAATCCCACAAACTGCTGCAGTCTTCAGTAATAATCCTGAATTACCGGTCCTCAGTCACCAGCCATGACAAACACCGTCCTGTGTTGTCACAAATGTTTCACCTGTGCCCTCTGAGGTGCCACCAGCACTCACCCAAAATCAGGAAGAAAATCTCCTTTACTCAGACCAAAATTTGCAGCATTGGGGTTATACCTTAAGAAAGAGCCTGAAATAAGTCAAACCACAAGAAAAGTGAGGTTTTGGGTAAGATTTTCCATCCAGCTGAGTATTGAAGGATTCATTTCAGGCAGATGGAGGCAACTGTGCATTTATAGAATCACAGAATTGTTTCACTTGGAAAAGACCTTCAGGACCATCAGGTCCAAGCCCACCCCAGCACTGCCAAGGCCACCACTGACCCATGTCCCCAAGTGCCACATCAACACCTATTTTAAAATCCTCCAGGGCTGGGGATTTAACTGGTTTTTCCCCTTTTTTTAAAATTTATTTATTTTCTGCTAGGCAGGACTCTTCCTTACTGTGGTATCTTTTGTTGTTCTGAAGGTAAGTTATGGCTGGGTTTGCATTCATTTCAGCTCAAATAAATATGATTTCTATCAAGGAAGCTTTAATAGCTTTGGATGCAAAAAGAAGCAACTGCTCTGCACTATCTTCCACTCTGACCTCATAAACTTTGATAAGTGCTGACCTCCAGCAAGAAAACTTGTCCTTTCTATTTTAAGGCAAAGGAGAGATGGGAAAGGTACAGGAAAATTAGTGTGGATTGCTCCTTTTTTTGGACATAGTGAAAAATAAGAAAGTAGCAGAATCTGGGGCAATTTGTGCCAGAAGAAACATGCCTGGAAATTCCCAGCACTCAAAATCCAGCAGGTTTAAAAATACATGAGGCATTTTTTATTTAGCAGGACCTGTTGTGGTTGGACAAAGGGAAAGGTTGCAAACGGCAGGAGGGTTGATTTAGATTAGATATGAGGAAGACATTTCTTACAACGAGGGTGGTAAAACATTAGCACAGGTTCCCAGAGAAGCTGTGGCTGCCCCTGGATCCCTGGAGGTGTCCAAGACCAGGTTAGATAGGGCTTGGAGCAGCCTGGGATAGTGGAAGGTGTCCCTGCCCATGGGCACTGGATCACCTTTAAAAGGTCTCTTCTGACTCAAAACTACTCCATAATCCTATAATTTTTATATCCTATTGCTACTAACAGTGCTCCCCTCCTGCCATGTCTGTCCTGCCTCGTCACCTTGAATGAAAAATAACAGCAAGAGGCTCAAACCCACTTGACATATAATGTCAGAAAGAAAATATCCTTTACTTCCCATGGATCTGCACATGACAGGCCTCTGTCTCTGCTGGCCTTGAGGCCTTGCACTGGTGCAGAAGGAAAGAAAATGAGATGAAAAATATTGAACAAAATTTATTAGATTCCTCGTAGAAGAAATCCAAAGTTGTTTTGTGGCTTATTTTAATTTAATATCATCTCCACAATCAATAGGAGTAAGAAAGGCAGTGTTCATTTAATCTCCTCCCCAGGGAAAACACACAGCACTCCAGCTCTGGGAAGCACTGGCTGAGCTGCTTTAAAAATCACCATGCAATAACTGCAAAGCAAAAAGCACACGGGGCTGCATCAAGTAGGTATTTAAAAGCCATCTTTAACTTTCATGTATTTTAAATGTTTCTGTAGCAAAATCACCTAAATAACACCCAAACCACGACAATACACAAGTGCTAAAGCTCTGAAGGTTCTCTTGAAATTCTTGAAAGAGAATTTGCTTCTCCTTGGCTACAGAGCCCATGCTTTGGTCCATGGTCTCAGCCTCCCACCCACTGGCAATTGTCACTTCCAACACTGAATTCCAGAATGTGCCATTTCACTTTTTCAAGAGTAGTTTCATTGACCATTATCTGATCAAGGCCTTAACAGCTATGAGCAGCTGACATTAATTTACAAGACAAAATATTCTCCTTCTTTCTCTTCCTTCACCAGTCTCAAGCAGCACAGACTCCTCAAAGTGGCCATGTCACAAGGATTTTTACAGGATGATAAGGTCCCTTATCTGAGGGCAGGACAAAGCACCATAAAACCACACTTCAACTCCTTGAGCTGCCAAGGACTCCAGCTCCACACTTGCTGCAACTGAGAGCCCAATTGACCACCAGCAATCCCTGGAAGGAGAGGGCAGGCAGCCACACAAAACTGTCCCTCTTGTGGCATCCATTGCTCTGAGGTGGGTAAATATGAGATAAAACTGAGATAATATGAGGTAAAATTGCTGCCCAGGGCACAGGTGAGTCCCCATGCCTGAAGCCATGTGGATGTGGTGCTTGGGGACACGGGTCACCGGTGGCTTTGGCAGTTCTGGGGAAATGGCTGCACTCAGTGGTCTTGGAGGGCTTTTCCAACCTGATTCTGTGCTTCTGTTTTAGCAATCCTCCCTCCAAACCCTGCTAACCACTGTCCACCCCTTTGTTTCTGCTGAGTGACAGCTTTGAAGCTGCAGCAGCCCCAGGAACATTCCTGCTTTATGATCACCTCCTCGGGTCAGCCAGATGGAGCCAAAGCATTTTCCCCTGCAAAACACTTTCATGTTCTATTTTAAGCCCATCCAGCATTTCTCATTCTTTAGTGCCCAGCCCTCAGAAACTCTTCAAAAACAGGATTTACAAGCACCTTCTCAGGACAAAAACGTGAGAAGCTTCATGCCTTCAACTACTCGCAGCTGTAAACCCATTCCCTTTCGAGTGATTGGGAATTCATTCCTGCAGAGAATC